ATACTATTAAGCATTAGTAACGAGTATTCATATGTACACATAAGGTGCTTTTATTCAAGTCGAAGGTCTTACGTGCCTACACATGTCTGCACTTTAGGATTATTAAAAGAATGTTAAAATATTCAATCAGAAAACTATTGAAGTTAGATTGATTCTAGTTATACTCATAACTTATTTATAACTTAAAATGGCTATTTCATTTCTCAATAAGTTAAGGCTGTATAGAACTATTGACTTTCAGTGTACTTCACCCCCAAAGCAGATTTGAAAGAGAAAGATTGGAAGCTTTTTTTTGAATATGAAATATTACTCTTATTCTAGAAAACACTACCTCACAAACTCGTTAGAACTAGAAAGGTGAGTAAAAGAAAACAGTTTAAAGTCTTAATAATTGGAAAACTATAGACTATAGCAGCAGTTCTAATAATTTTAAGGACTTAATGATTTGCAAATTAACTGAATTTTATTATCTCAACATTTTTCTGTAACCAATATTTTTTTAATAAATTTTATATTATTATTTTTATAACAAAAATTCTTTATTTTTATTTTTGAAACAAATTAATTGAAATTATGTTTTATTTACACCAATATTTCAGAGTACCCTGAAGATGACTATAGAATATAGTCAAAATATTAGTTTAAATATAACATAGTTTTTTAAAATAATTTAAAAAGTGTTTATTTGAACAATTAGCTAATTGCCAATTGGCCTGTTTCAAAAATAAAAATAGTAAATAAATTACATGAAAATATATTGAAATAACCGTTGGTGAAAGATCAATGAACATCAATCTTAAAAAATAATTATTTTTTGTTTTCATGTTTTTTACCGATTATTTAATTTAAGCAAAATATATTTCTCATACTATGTTTTTGTTAAAATTACAACAAATAAAATCTTGGTATAGAATAATTTAAAAACATGAAAAAAACGAAATGTCTTTAAAAAAATGTGTAATAATCGATTAAAAAAATGCTTGTAATATATGATCTAAATAAAAAGTTTTAAATGAAAAAAATTTATATAAATTATTGAAGTCAATAAAATAGATTGTATTTAAATAAATATTTTAAGTATAAGTCATAAAATTATATTATCAATTAGAAATAAAAATGAATGCAATAAAAAATATATGTATTACATTGTAAAAAAAAACTATTTGAAGTGTATTATACTAAAATTTAATTTCAAAATAAGAATATATGTAATACATAATTAACAGGATATAATAAAATTTTTAAAAAGAATTAACCAATGAAAAGATTTTTTTAAATTATAAGAAAAAAAATTTGAGTTAATTTGAGTAAAAAACAAATTTAAAAATATAAATACAGAAGAAATAAAGATATCACCAAAAGAGATAGTAGTTTTCTTTTTTTTTTTGAATATATATTTGAAAATCATAAAATCTTAAAGTTTACATAAAAATTAATACATAATCATAAAATATATATAATTATTAAAACATATTATATAAATACAAAAAATGTTTAAAATGTAATAAGCAGATACATGCATATACATCGTACAAATATAGAAGCACGAATTACAAATTACAATTTTAATTTAAAATAAAATTACTAAAAATTAAATACAATATTAAAAATTAAGCGTTCATTTAAAATATGTAATAATTAAAAAATACAGTGACTCAAATATATTTTAGAAATAAATAAATTTGAACAATTAAAATTTTTATATTTTAAAGAGCTTGCATAAATAGTTGTTGGTTTTGTTTATATTAAGGTGTGATTCAGTGAAGTGCTATGCTACAAGTGCTTTATTAATGTACTTATTTTTATAAACTAGTATTAGTTAGGTTAAATATTAATAACTATATTCTATTAGGGTTTCACTTGCTGAAGTAAAAAATATGGTTTTAACTTAATGTAGATAGAAGAGCGTACAAATTTTTTACAAAATGTTTTCTATATATATAAATATATATTTATATTTATAACTATTTGCATATTTGCAAAAAAGTAAATTTATTACATATTACAATCTCTTTACATTTGCTCTTTTTTTTAATTACTATTTATAGAGATGAGTTTTATAGTTATATATTTATTATTTTAAAAAGTCTTTCAACAAAAGCTAGTGAGTATAGAAAAAATATATTATTTATTATTATATGAGTTTCATATAAATTTTTGAATATATATATATATATATATTTATTGTTATTATAAAATTTCATTTCATTCACGTGTAGCATATGTTCATACGTTTTACTTTATTTTTTTGTTTTAGAAAAATTTTGTTATAATAATTTGCCAGTTTTTTTTTCTACACTACAATTCGGTAAAACATTTGTTCGCTTGCTTTTAAATATTTTTTTTTAATTTACAATTTATATAAATTTATTTATAATTTGTTTGATTTGTAGTAGAATACAAAATAGCTCGTACATATTCTCATATATACAGATAAATAATATAAGTTGTCAAAATAATTTTAAATGAATTATAACAACCATTTATTTCTGCATAATTTTATATATAAAGAAATGTTATGTTTATTATATCAATGAAATTGTGAACATATTTTTAGTTCACAGTTAATATTACCAAAACTAATATAATTGCATTCAACCATTATTAATAAATAATGACCTGTTAAAGAACATTTAATTTGTCATTCTTATTGTATCTTATGATGTCATTGATGCTCAATATTTAAGAGCAAACGTTTTCAGTACATCTGTGATTTCATATATGTATTAATAATTAAATATTGTTACTGATATAGTAAGCACTATATCAGTGTCTAATAAAATGAAATAAAAATGATTTAAGAATCATTACAGAAATTTTGATAGAGCACTATAGGTTAAATAATCACTTTAAAAAGTGAGAATTCACTCCAGTTAAACTTGTAGGTTTAACTGAGAAAAAAATTAACTTATTCAGCACTAATGCACAAGTAAAAGAAATATCATGCTGGGCATCTTATAGTCGATGAAGAAGTTAGATTCATTATAGTAGGTTCAATTCTACAATTTATAAGCAAATTATGCTCAGAAAACTATTCTATATATAATATGAAAAGGGGAAAAAGGAGATCTCAAACTTACAATGCAAAATGACTTGACTTAATAAATATAATTATAATATTATAAAATTTACAATCATATATGATTTATGTTCTAGATATCTTAAGCTAACCAAAGCCATATTTCCACAGTTTCACTATTTATATTTAGAACGACGACAGTTGTTTAAGTTAAAGTTTTTTGAAATATATATGTATATATATATTGTATTTCAACTGTAGCTTTTAGCTCTTACAAAAGTGAAAAGTCAATTTCATTTTGGAAGAAAATTTGCATGTATAAAATATTAAATTAATTTATTTCACTGAGAGATGTAACTGATTGATAAAATCTGCCCAATATATTTATTATGTACGTATCTAAGTTTTTGTGTGAAATTTTTACTATTTGTATTCTAATTTTAATTGGTTTTATATTATAAATTATGCTAGCAAATCAAACTGAAATTATTTATTCCAAACAACTGGCCTAGAGAGCAAGCTTTTATATATTTATATTATTTTTTGATTTTGTAATTAATTAATTACACGTGCTTGCTATATATTCAAGTTACAATAATTGTTAATAAACATTATTTAAATAACATATTTATAAAATCAATCAATTTCTATATATACTTAAAATTACGTGAAATTTTTTATAATTCTCTTATGCGTATAAATTAAATTAATTTTTCCTGCATTCCGCATACTTTTAAATTCATGTACGCGATTTAATTATAATATAAGAAAGAAATGTTTCTTTATAAGGTTTTCTTTTACTTTTACGTCGTATGTGTCCTGTTTGTCGTCTGTGATATACATGATTACAATTTTTTAAAATTAAAATACTTTATAATAATTATATATACCATATATAAATGTATATATGTAATAGTATGTATAATGCGTAAATACTAAAAATTCTTATAAACATGCTTAAGAAATCTATTTCATTCATATTTCTATATATTTTTAATTTAATATATATAATTTTTATTGAATGTATTTATATATATAATATTTATTTATAAATTTTGTATGTTTTTTAATTTAATATTTTATTAAAATTTTTGTTTATAATTTTAATCATAATAAAAATGTTTTTAGAAATTATAGTGAACATTTAATAATTTTTTATTATTTCAAACTGTAAGATAATTTGAAATTTGTGAAACTGTTTGCATTTTCTTTGTTTTTAATTGTATTTTAATCTTTCATAGGCTGTTATTTACTGTATTATACGCTATAATATAGAATTGAAATATTTATAAATAATAGTAAAAAACTTGCATCTGTTTGTTTTTAACAATATGAAAATCTTTTCTTAATAATGCTTGTGAAATAAATCTGCAAGGGTTTTTATATGTTTTATTTTATTTTTGTTGAGTTTAAAAATATAGTTTTAATAATTTAATGTTTAAAAATGTCATTTTTACATAAAAATTGTTTACAAGTTGTAGTGATATTTTTATACATAAACGAAAATATAAATAATACAAGTATACAAATTAAAAATATAGTTAATTTACAAATATAATTTTCGAAAAAATATTGTTTGTTTAAAAGGAAAGTTTGCTTTTTACATATTTTTACAAAAGAACATGCAAAGTATACACAACGGATACAAATATGCCTGTTACATAAAGTGAGCGAGAGTGACAACTATATAGTAGAATGTCACGTTTCTGTGATGACAATATAATTATAATTTTTTCAATTTTTCTATTAACATAATAATTACAATTTCAAATTCATTTATAAGCAGCGTCATATAGTAAATTATATATAAATAAAATCATTTTTCTTTGTTAATGCATTCATATACATACACTCTATTACTAAATGGGTTGTTAATGAATCGTTTGTGAGTGTTGTTATTTCATTTAATATAATATATATCTCATATGAGTCTCGAATTGTTACACTTAAAATTAAATGTTTACAAACAATTTTTTACATATAATAAATTACAAAAATTGTACAATTAAAACATACATAACATATAAGTAGTTTCAAAAAATTTTTTAAAAATAAAAATAAATATAAATTTGAAAAGATTTTTATCTTGCTTTTGCATGCAATACAGTGCGAATGTTTGAACTTTTTCAAGATTTTTCAATTGCGTTCACTGAAATCAACAGTTTCAAACATAATTTTGACTTATTCTTGTTATATGATTCATAGTGTTCACATCATCGTGCAAAATGCTTGAGTTCTTGCGCTATAAAGACTGAAAGGAGTTTAGATAGTTTGGAGAAAGACATTAATATCAAATTATCTAAAAACTAATCCATACATCCATACATTTATGTATATATATATTAATATATTAGCGCAATTTATAATACAATTAGCATTTTCTGTTTTCTGTTTCTGATTTAATTGCTATTGCTACATCTACTTTTCTCTTACTTTAGAGTTGTTTACACTTATTTAGCTAAGCTTATATTTTTTTTACATATTTTGTGTTCTCTTGTATTCTCAGCGAAACGATTAGAAACGATTTCTCTTTTATAAAATATAAATTGTGTTTTATACCTAGCAATCTATTTATGTAGTCAATAAAATTTTAATTAAAACTTATTGAATTGTGTCTGTCCGATATTAAAAAAAATTGTGGTGTTTGACAAGGAAACATTTAATTAATTAGTCCTTAATTATTTTTTAAAACAGCAACATATTACAAATTTCACCACCCTCTATTATTTTCACCACGATTTTTCTTTTCACCACTCCTTACTATTTTCACCACATTTCATTTTTTTCATACTGCTTTATTTAAAATACTATAATACCTAATATCTAAGCTAAATTTTATTCGAAAAATTTCTGCTTACTACTTTATTGTTTTACTAATTTCTATTAACCGTTGCTCTTGTTCTATTTAAGCTATTGCTGTTAAACTGCTTACAAAACACCATTTGTTGTTGGTGGACCGATGGGTCCGAGACCGCTATTGACAGCTGTTACTACAGATGTAGCGCTGCTGCTATTTGTCGATACAGCTGAAGAAGCAGCAGGTGATGCTTGTCCTGGTGCTGTTACATTAATACAATTCTCTTGTAGCACTATGCCATTACCGTTCATAGCGCCTGCACCTACAACATTACCAACATTCGTTGCTGTTGTTGTAGCCACCATAGCTGCCAAACCACCTGTAACTGTTGTTGTTGCTGTAGTGACTGCACCTCCTAGTGCAGTGCTACTCGCTGCTACACCTGTAGAGCCTGTTGCTGTTATTGGATTAGCTGTTTTCATAAAATATTTCTCCAACTTGGCATTGATATGTTTGCCATAGGTATATTTGCGTAATGCTCCCATATGTGGGCGTATCTTATTCATGAGTTTCTTTAATTGTGTTGGCTCTGAGACATCAATCATCTTTTGTACCACATAATTAGCGTATTGATCCTTCATCATAACATGCAATGCACTATAAGAGAGAGGAATGAATAAAATTTAGTTATTTTTTAAAGTATATTATTATTGAACATATATTTGTACTTACTTATCATTAAAAGTACAGACTTCATCTATGAGACCAGTGCGTTCGGCGCGTGTTGCATGTGTCACGCACTTTTCAACTACATTCGAAGCAAATTTATGTTGCGACAAAACGAGCACCTTGCCACGTACGCTGCTAATCAAAATTGATTTATCTTCTGGTTTGCCATGTTCTGAAGTTGGAAGCAATCATAGGTATCAAGAGTGAGAAACGCGCAAGAATGAAAAACGTTAATATATTAGGTAATGTAAATAACAAAACATATGTATATATAAATATATCAAACAAAATTTATCAGCTTAACGCGTAAAAAAAAAATGGGAAATTATAAAAAAAACACACCATTTAGTATTCTAAAACACCGTTTAAATAGTTAAAAAGGATTACAACTTCTGATATCAAAAATATTATAAAGTTTTTGATATATTATTTGGATACATTAAATAAATAAATATTAGATTAGAGGCAAAAATTACTTCGAAATCCATATCTAAAACATAGTTGGGAAAAAGGACATTTTGATATTTATTCAAAGACAATATCTGAGCATATATACCATATGTTAGTAGGCAACAACTCTCTGATAAATATCATCTAAATAGCATTTACAATACTTTCATATATTCGTATGAACTTTGAGCCCTACTGTTCTGGCATTAACAATTGCCAAACGATAACGTTCGTTAAAGAACAATTTTACATTCGTATTATTGGTTGTTAACGTGATTCGAGCTAGTTATATCTAACAATCGTCTAACGCTATTCTGCGATTAGAATATAAGACTTTCGGTTTATGGCTACCCGTGACTGTGGAAACAAGAAAATACTAGACGAAACACTATTTCCACAATTAATTCGTAAGCTTATCCGGGACTATTCTCAATAACAGCACTATGATATTTTGACTATTTCCTGGGTAGTAACCAGTTTATTGTAATTGTAGTATATTAATATTTGAAAATTCTAGTGTATGTATGCGTGTGTGTGCGTTTTAGTATGTTAAACGTCAGTTCTGTTTTTTTGATACTGTTAACTGTTGTTGTTTTTGATTATTTAGCTATGTATGTATGAACATAGTTAATCACTGATTGCTGGTGAAAATAAAGTATTTACTTAGTTAACGACATCTAGGATTTTATCTCATTTTATTTTTTTTTATATCTAATTATTTTGTTCCATTAGTTTTGTTATCTCATACTTTGACTGCTTTTTCATAAGTGAATATTGTTTTTGATTTAATTTTTATATTTGAACTAAGTGGTTGAGCGGTCAGTGAGTGGAATGAAAGGTTTTAGTTGGTATTGGTATGACTTTAATATTAATCACTAATCCAGGATGGTTCTTTAATTTTTGTTTGTTGTTTAATAATAGAATTTAAAATAAATATCATAGTGTTTGGTATTGGTTTGATCTTCACATGATATGGCGCAACGTACCAGCTTAGCAATATATTTATTTTTATTTATAAATACTAGGAGGCTCTGCCCCAGCAAGCTTTCCCCGACAACCCTCGTTATATTCATTTGACTCTGTCATATTTAATATGTAGGTATGTACTTTTCACATTCTTCAAGCAATCCCAACATTTTCGTCTTCTATTGTTTTCATTTGTTTTTTAAACTTAAATTTTCGATGCGTTAAGAATTTAGCATTTTCTTTCAGCATCAGTTAAATTAATACAAAAACGACACATTGTCTTTTTTTTTTCTTTTAATAATAAAAATAACCCTGTACTGCGCTAGTGGATAGTATCACAAATGTACCCCGTCGCACATTACATTTTTTATAATAACATATGTATAGAGAAAAATAACACTTTTTTTTGGGTTTTTTATCTTTTCTCTTTTGTTTTCTTTTTTGCCTTTTTTCTTTTTTCTCCTTTTCCTTTTTTCCCCAGGGGGAGTTTTCTCCATTTTTCCTTTTTCCCTTTTATTTTTTATTTTCCTTTTCCCTTTTTTTTTCCTTTTTCTTTTTTTATTTTTATTCCTTTTCTCTTCTTATTTTTTTGTCCTTTTTCCCGCTTTTTTCGTTTTCTTTTCATTTTCTTTCTTGCTTCTACACTTTCTCTCTTTCTTTTTTGCTTCTACACTGATCAAGTTAGAACAAATATTAAGATTTTTACGTTTGTTCTGTTTTAGTTTTTAATGGTTTGCTGGACGAAATAGGTGAGTTCTAAGAAATCGAAAAACATCGGATAAGTTTCCGAAATTGTTTATTGATCATTTATTTATGTATTTCTTTTCTTTTTATTTTTATGTATGTTGACGTAAAAAGTCAATATATATCAGGGTTCGTATTTGCTCACTCATGAGCAGCTCAGGCTCATGAGCAAGAGCCAATTCTTACGTGAGCCCAAAATTGGCTCATGAGCGTGAGCCCATAATTGGCTCATAATGAAGAGCTGCTCACCAGCGTGAGCCTTCAAATTGCTCATATTGAAGAGCTGCTCATGAGGTCTCACGAGCCGAGAGCTCACGAGCTCAACTGTTTAATAAAAAGCGATTTATTAGTTTATTTGCTTTATTTATTTTTATAAACGTTATATGTAAAAATATATAATTTCATATTAAAACAATATAATGAAACAATAATTTGAATTTGAAAAACAAATTTATAAAATACTAGTAGATGACCCGGCGAACTCTGTTCCGCCTTAAAGGCAATAAATAAGCAGTTTTTTTTTAATTGGAAAAAATACAAAAAAAAAAAAAAATACCTACATTAATCATTCATAATTTATTTATTTTTATATTTATTTATTTATTTTCTTATATCAAAAATTTGATAATTTCAAAACCTACTTTGTCGTTTCTCACCACTGACGTTTCATGTCAATTAAAAAACTAAAAACTCAAATTTTCAACCATACCATACATTATAATTGTTAATTATTTATTTTGTTGAGTTTGCAACAACCAGGTAGTTTTATTGATTAAAAACGATATTTATTGCAACACAAACTTATATTGATCTAATACAACTTTTAAAAACACATTAACTAAGTTATATTTCTATCTGTTAAATTTTAATAAAATATTTTCTTATATCAAAAATTTGATAATTTCAAAACCTACTTTGTCGTTTCTCACCACTGACGTTTCATGTCAAGTCACACGGGAATGCTGTCGAACGGGATAAAAAGTATCCTATGTCCTTCTCCTGGCCTTAAACTACCTCCCTGCCAATTTTCAGCTAAATCGGTTCAGCCGTTCTTGAGTTATAAGTGGTGTAACTAACACAACTTTCTTTTATATATATATATTATTATTTTTCACAAATAAACAATAAAAATGTATTTATTTATTTTAGGAACTTTGATTATTTCCATATTAAAGTTAATTCAAGGTTATTAATATTTTTAATCTTTTTAATGACATGTTTTCACAAAAAAAAAAATAATAGCAAAATCTTAAATTGGGCGCATGAGATCTCATGAGCCGCAGCTCATACTCTTGCTCACGAGCGTGAGCCCATTTATAACTTAATGGCGGCTCTTGCTCGTGAGCGTGAGCTCTGTAGTTGGGCTCGCTCGTGAGCGTGAGCCATCGTATGAAAAGAGTTTTTTGCCGGCTCATGAGCCGTGAGCAGAATGAGCCGCTCATGGGTACGCAAATACGAACTCTGATATATATATACCAATGCTTTTGCTGTTGTACTTTGATTTTCTGTGGAACATTGTGTTCTCTTTTAACTTTGGATGATTTTTTTTTGTTTTTTTTTTTGGCTTGTCTGAATATTTTTAAATATGTTTGTTTTTTTTGCCTTTCCAATTTCAAGTCATAATTTTAACACTCAGAGTACACTCATAAGAATTCAAATATAAATGCATATAAATGTTTTTCTCATACACTACTTATGTGCAATTAACATTCGCTACAGAAATAATTTATAAGTTTATTCGTTAACGAATGCCGATGCTAATAAATCATTAAGTAAATAATCCATAAAATTGAATAGTAGAGAATTAATAAAGTCAATACTACTGGAAACAGTTCTCCTATTCAGTTTCCGACACGATTCCGATTTCCGAAGGCACGCTTAATTTTTTATACATCAGATTTCAAATTTATAATTTTTTACGTAGAAGCCATCGAAAATAAGTGGACACTTCACCTGTTCATTACTCGTATTAGTAGTTTTTTGGGTAAACAGGAATAAATTTAAAACGTCAATATCTTTAGAATTCTACAACGTATGAAAATAGTTGCCCACAGTTGCAGATTCTACCATAATTCGTTGTTAAATGGACATGTGTGCGATGTCGAAATCTCGTCCATACTTCATATCTTCGCTGTTATGTTTAGATAGAGAGGTTTGCTAATATACTTTTTGTTCTTAAGTTATTTCTTTTATAAATGTTTTTCAGAAAATATTTTATGTTTCCTATTTGTCAGGTTTTTAATATTTAAAAATAATTACTAAATAGTTATTAATAAAACGTAAGCTTTATTATTATAATTATTTTCTTTTGATGTATTTATATTATAATATATATATGGTTCGTTTTCAAGCTGTTCTCTTTAATATATTTATCTAAAGTTATATAATTAAATTACATAAAAATATATCACTTACCCAAAACATGTTGTATAACGTAATTTCCATACTGATCTTGTATCAACTGTTCAGTGTGCTCGTGTAATTCTTCCAAAATTGGTGCAGTCTGTTCCGGAGTGCAATGTTCTAAGATGCGCTGTATAACACGACAACCATAAGGGTGAGTGCTGAGCGAATAAACTTGTCCCTTGAAAGCATTAATTATGAACTGCAAAGCAGATGGATCAACACATTCAATGCACTTTTGTACTACATGATTGCCATTCTGATCCTTAACACACTTCAAAACATTACCATCTAATTCGCGTACAATCTCCTGCTGCTGTTCAGGCGAAATGCTTTCCAGAGCTTTTTGTATAACACGACAACCGTACATTTGCAAAGCTAACTGCAAAACGTGCCCCTTAACCTGCATGCCAAGTGTATTCTTCTGTTCTGGAGTGCCAAACTCAAAGAATTTCTGTATAACATAATTTCCAAATACATCTGTCATTAGACTGAACGCAGCACTGAGTATCTCATTAAAGACCAATTGCTTTTCTGGAGCTGTAGCGCGTTCAAGTTTTTGCTGTATAAAACGAGAGCCATGCTGATCTTGTGAGAACTCCACAATATGATTCGTCAAGTGACGCAGTTGTAAATTTAAATATAACTGATTACGGAAGTCTTCAAGCAAGCGTGAACGTCCTGGTTGTGGTGCTCCTGGCACAGCAGCTGCAGCAACTGCTGCGGCAGTAGGATTAACACCGGCTGCAAGTGCTGCTGAACGATTTGATGTTGCAGCTGCTAAAGCTGCTGATGTAGCATTTGGAATGGGTAAATGTTTTGAGAAGAGTGAATTGTTTGAACCGAACATATTGTTAGCAGCAGCAATAACTTGTGCAGTTGCTGGTGGTAAGCCGACTGCCATTTGCTGGCGGAATTTGGTTTCAGCGCCTGGTGCGCGATTTGTCATTAGGCACGACTGTGGCGGCGGTGGAGTTATGGGTGCACCAATAGGACTCGCTGAAGCTGTAGCACCAATTGTACCATATGTATTAGTAACTGTTGGCCATTTAGCACGTGCTGCTGCAGCAGCAGCTGCAGCTGCTGCTACTTGTGATACTGAAGTTGCGGCTATTGTGCTACTACTGGTGTAATCCATAGCTGATGGGCTAAAGGCGGAAGTAGTGCGATCAAATGAGTCACGTCGTCCTGTCAATGAGGATGTGTTGAGTGCAAGTGCTATGAAAATAAAAAAAATAAAATATATATTATTTTTAAAATTTTTATTTAATTGTAAATTAAATGAAATATTTTTCTTTTTTGGCATTTGTTGTGGGCTGCATGCATTTTAAATTTTAATTTATTTATTTCATTTTATTTGTTATTGATTAAATTGTACAAAAGAGCTTTGGTTATGTTTTGGTTTTCGAATTTACCAAGTTGATATGCTGCATTTGCATTTAGTCACGTTTTTCAATTTCATATTTACTTTATTATATCAACGCAATCCAAATATAAAATATAAAATACAAAATACAAAATAAAAACTAAAATAAAAAATAAATACAAATACAAATATAACCCGAACCGATACCAAACACAATTCGATATATAATATATAAAGTTCAAATATTGTATTGTCAAGCAGGATGAAAAAGGACTCGTCATGTGCATTGGCAAGTGAGTTTCTGGTTGGGAGTTAATTTTGGTTGCAGTAGAATGTATTTTTATATTTTTAGTGCCTCTATGCCAGGCGAATTGTTGCGAATAAAGATTTACGAGACATTTTAAGTAAATAAACATGAAAAAGGAAGTTAAAACAAAATAAAAAAGTAGTAAAATTGAAAAAGTAGTTAAGTAGCTTTTTAATGATTTATACAAAGTGAAATTTTATGCCACTATAAAAGTTTAAAAAATTTTTTATATCTATAAAAGAATATTAATTTAAAAATCAATTAAAAAAAATTCTCTTAATTACTTTCTATTAGTAGATTTATTACACAATATTCGTTTCGTTAATGGCAGACAGCACAGGATATAGAACTTATCTCCATTAGATACTTTAAAAATCAGAAATATCTTCTAAAGATCTTAAGCTCAAAAAATAAAAAATTAAAAAGACATTTATGTGATTAAAGATTAAAAATTTTTTTTTTGTTAGCAAAAAGCATTTTCGACATTTAATTAAAAAATTAAATCTATCTTTTATATGCAATGCAAAGTATTATTTTATTTTTCTTTCTGTCTAATATTTAAGGAATGTATTGTAATACACAAAAAATTTTTGTTATTTAAGTTATACATTTCATTTGTAACCACAAATCAACAAGTTTTCCATAACATTTTCCATAATATCACAACATTTTATAAGAAAAAATAGAAATCCGTACAAAATTTAAAATCAAAAAGGATTTTCAAATTAAGTAAAGTAAATAGGACTAAATTTCAAATATCATAGTGTAGTGATAGTTTACATCAATACAGACTATACTACATACTATATACCTATCTTACAACATATATATTTACTTGAGAATACGATTAAAAATTCAAAACCACACATGAATTGATTGATGTGCAATTTGTCTACTTGAATTGTGTAAAGGATATGGACATGTTTATGTCAAATGTCAAATGGACTAATCGAATTGTTTAAGGATGTATACTGTGCTTTTCTATTTGTACGATGTATATTATATGATGTTGAGTATATATCTAAAGAACAAATAAGGCAACTGATAAACGAATTAGTTAAATTCTCATAAGGATGGATGTTGTTGATGCAATTTGCAGATTAAATCATACTAAGATAATCGCTGTGTGATTGCTAATTTAATAGCAAATATATAATGATGTAAAATATCAGAAAATTTAGTAAACTATTATTGTAGTAATATTTAAGTAAACACCTAAGATGAACAAAAATATTTACACTATATATTTTATGGTAGTTCTTTTTAATAGGAATTGGAGAATTAATACAAAAATCACCGAATATAAATTTCATAGTTTTTGGAGAACAAATTAGTGAAAGAATAATGTTATGAAAAAAAGGAGAATGATATGAAAAATGTACCAATTATAATAGTTAATAAAATTTTTGGAGAAAAGTTGAAGAAAAACAGATACAGTAGAATTAGAAAAGGCAAAGAAAAAGATAATACAGGAAAGAAAAACAATTCTAAGAAAAAGAAAAATCTAAGAAAAAGAAAATATAAAGAAAAAGAAAATACAAAGAAAAAGAAAATACAAAGAAAAAGAAAATACAAAGAAAAATAAAATACAAAGAAAAAAAAAAGATAAAAAAGAAAAAAAAGATAAAAAAGAAAAAAAAAAGAAGAAAAAAATAGAAGAAAAAATATAAAAAGGACAAAAAGAGACAAAAAAATATACAAAACATGGAGAATATAGAAGACAAAGAAGTAGAGAATACAAGAAAGAGAAAAAAGAGAGAAATAGAGAAAGCAAAGAAAAAGAATAATCAAAAAATTCAGAGAAGAAGAGGACACCAAAAAAAATAAAGAATTATAACGGAATAACGAATAGAAAAAAGAACAAGAGAAGACAAAACGAAACATTAAGAAAAAAAAAAGAATTGAGAAAGAAAAAAAAAGATAAAGAAAAAAAGAACACAGAGAAAAAGAGATAAGAAAATTCAGAAAAAAGAAAAAGAACAAACAAAGCAATAAAAAGAACGAGCAGGACAAGAGATTACAAAAAAAAAACAAAAAAACAAAGTATTAGACGAAGAAGAAAAAGAAATGACAATAAATAAATTAAATTAAATCAAACATTTATTGATGGAAAAAAATTGTGTGCGAGAAAAAGAAGGCTGATGTCAGATAGAAACATAAAAAAACACTTATACACAAGCAAGACAGTGAAAACAAAAAACGATTGAAAAGTAGTGTTAATATTTACTCAGGATTCGTTTAGATTTTTTTTGGGTGGATCAATTTGGTAGGCATATCTTACAAGGAGTAGCATTCTGAGCAAACATACAGATATGTCATTTGTCATATCTATATATTGTTTGTTGCATTTGTATGATTCTACAACTATACTAGTTGACGCTGTATTGAGCGTTTAGTTATTGTTTGTGTAAGCAAAGCAAAAAGTTGTATGATTTTAAATACAAATCTAGAGAGCTAAACAACATCGATGATACCCATAGATCCTAAGATATAAGAATCCTGTTATAAAATTAGATATGCTTATTCACAATTATAGTTCTATACTAATTACATTGTTGAACTAAGGATTATTATGTCTTCAATTAAAAATGCAATAGTATATGTCGACATATATATTTAACAATAAATTTAAGCAATTTTCTTAAATTACAATACTAATAGGTTTATGCTTGAAACGTGATTTATAAAATATGAAATTATTTCAACATGCTCAACACAAACATGCAACGTGATATGCGCTTATGAATATGTAGGTAAGTTTGTCTTCAATAGGGCATGATTACTACAAATGTTCGGTTCACGTGAGATTTCATTGCAAACATTATGATTCGAGTCATATTAAAAATATTTAAGTGATACAAATATACCTAAATATTTATTATAGTAAATTATTACATCATTTTAAAATAAAACTATATTGTAGTTAAGATAATACATTCTAACTACTTGAGGAATACTATGCACCGTAAATCTAGTGGTCTATGGTACTGATAAGATACAAAATAAAATAAACTTTTTCGTTTTTGATTTAAATACCACGAATCTGGTGGTCTATGTATTGATAAGATACAAAGTAAAACAAACCTTTTCCTTTTGGATTTAAATAAAAAATCAAAATATATAAAATATTATTTACTTTTTACTCTCTAACATTAAGTTTGATATTTTATTCCCTGATCATAATTCAGCATACAATTCAGCTATTCAGCAACATTTATAAAATTTTATAAAAGTCAATATTTTTAAATTTATGCTAAAAATTTTGATTGACAAATAAATTGCAATATTTTAAGCCAAAAAATAGGAAAAGGAGCGCCAAAAATAGGAAAACTAAAACTGTCATTTAAATCAACTAACTAATTCCAAAGAAGAAACAATTAAGCAATAATAATAAAAGAAAATGTATTCTTGTTCTTGTTTTGTTGAATGGTAGCATAAAGTAAGATACTAATCTTTCTAGCTGCATGTTAGTCCGTAAATCTTGCTAATACAAATTGTGTGAGTATGAGTTATCTACAGACATTTTACTATTTGATATTCAAGCAAGAAGCTTAAATTGATGCACAACACATTTAAAAGGGAATTATTCATGCAATTTGAGATACGAAAGCCCAATGATGAAAATACACAATTATACAATACACACAAACAATTATAAATAAAGGTAAACAAACAGTCATACAATCATACAACCATACAATCATACAATAATACAACCATAGCCAGACAGACAGCGAAACAGACACAGCATTGATTTAAACTTGAAAGTGCATAAACAACACAGATACATTCGTACAACAGCAGATACAGCAACAAAGATGGGCAACAATAATTGTCAAATGAGTGCAAGTGAAGCAAGTAGGGAATATAAATGCATAATGCATATAGCGGGTGGTGGGACTTGACATAAAGATTTCTTTTAGGAATTAAAACAAAGTTAGTGTTTGTGGTTTTATGGGTTGCAAATGTTACAAACGTTGCATGCGATGCTCACAAGGCTAGAACGGTATTACAGTATCGAGTATCGAGCGCCGAGCATGAGCTTTGTATGCAGCTTATATCTCTGAACAAGGGCAAAGCACAATTTTGAGTTCCTTTTACTATACAAAATATGTTAGAATTGCACCTTTACCGGGAAGGAGTAAGGAAATACACAACATGCTACATGCCACAATTACTCTTCAAGAAATACTCCCTCAACGTAAACGAACTCAATTTTGCAAAAAGCATGAAAGGCATTACCCGAAAGACATTGGTAATGTATATTTATTTAAGGTCTTGCTAGTTATTGGTAGGAAAAGGTAGCTAGCTTTGTTGTAGGTAGATGGTTGTTGTAGGTAGATGGTTGTTGTAGGTATCTAAGTATGCGTCTTATCTGTGCTTTGTATTTGTAACTTATTTGATGGCAGACAAACCAACTCAGCCCAAAGTACTTCTAGGTAGTTGTTGGGTGGTTAACTGCTACTGGTGCATATGAAATGATAAAATTTTTATTACAGACATTGTCGTTCCTTGAGCATAATGCTTACACACAACTTAACTGCT